TGGTGACTTTCCAGGAGAGGGCAGATCAAGAGAAGTCAGGTAGGTCACCTGATGCCTTGGCTGCTTGTGGGAGACGTTATTCTCCAAAACGTGACACTTGTAAACGGGCGGAAAGGCCAGCCTGTGCCTCGTGCTGGAGATTGCTGCCGTGTGGCAGTTATGTGGGCGCCTGTTTTGAGATTAGATTTTAGTAACTAGATTCACCCAGGGGACCTCGTAATCACTTAATTACTGATGTGCTCGTTGTATAATAATGTCAAAAGGTGTCTTGTCATTTTTATTTCATGGTTTTTTCAAGTTTCTCTGTGACTGTGTTCCAAATGAAATACTCTTTGAGAGCGCAGTATTTCTCCTGTGATGGGTGCCTGTTGTTTTGCAATGGGCATAAATAAGATACAAGCTCTCAGTGATTAGCAGAGAGAAAGCGCTGGGAAATGGGGGCAGAGTGAAGCGGGTGGGGAGCCAGAGGAGGGAAAAGAGAACGAGAAGATGGGTTGGGGCATGGTGGGGATAGCGGAGGCCGTAGCAGAGAGGAGGGTTTGGAGGGAGGGGTGGGGAACAGGCAAGGAGAGACACAGATAAGCTGAGAGATACACGTGTAGAATCAAGTAGACAGATCCAAATAGAGACTCACAGAGATTAACCCGTGATCAGAGAGAGACAGAGACAGACAGACACTGGTCTGGACAGACAGTAGAGACTGGTCCTTGTTCTTACGATATGCAAATATCCATCATCATATTGATGACGCTTTTACCTGTTTGCTTCTTTCTGGCTTTAAAGCTCTATGACTCATCTGTGTTTGCATGTGTGCAGACTATTGAGGAAGCTGGTTCTTGGACAGGTGAGATTTGAGAGCCCTTGTAAGTAATTAGCACAATCTCTGGGGCCAGACCATCTGGGTTCGAATCCCAGCTCTGCCACCTACTTGCTAGGTGACGTGGGCAAGTAATATACTCTCTGTGTGTCTCAGTTTCTTCTTCTTAAAATGAGATTAATAATAGTATCTAGCCCATAGGCTGCTGTGAGGATTAAAGGAGATGATGTATGCAAACCTGTGAGAACATGGTACCCAACATGCATTGACTGGTGTTACTACTATGCTTGTAAAATGATCCTTGATGTTGTAGGACCAGTTTTCCTCTGAGGGAATGTTCACAGAGCTAAACATATTTTTCTGACTACTGAAGAGGCTATGTGTTCCTGTCTGGGGCTTTTGGCATTGACCCTTATTGCCGTTTGAGGAGAGAGTGAAAAGGTAATACACTGGGAATAAGGAGTTGCTTCTTGTAGTCCAGCTCTGGCACAAACTATCTACGAGATGAGTTTCTCTGGATCTGCTCTCAGATTATAAACTCTAAGGGGGTCTTTGACTAGGTGATTGATATTGAGTCCTTTCTGGCATGTGAGTTTTATGATTTGACTCTGTGTAAAGGTTTTGTGGACTTAAGATTCTTGAAAAAATCAGGGATTGATCATACAAGTACCCCTGTAAGAAAGAAACGTGTGTGCTGCCATTGTACCATTGACCCTTGAACAACATGAGTTTGAACTGCAGAGATCCACTTTTAGGCAGATATTTTTCAGTGGTAAAGACTATAGTACTTACTAGATGGTCTGTGGTTGGTTGAATCCTCTGATGTGGCCGAACTGGGGGTATGGAGGGCCCACTCTAAGTTATATGCAGACTAAGCCCCAAGTTGGTCAAGGGTCAACCATAGGTAAAGAGGTGAGGAGTCTGGCTTCCTATAGCCATGCTGGTCATCACGACTGTCAGCATTATTTCCTTCTTTTTCTTTTTTCCTTTTCCCCTGGAGGAGGAGCAGTGTTTGAAAGGATGCCACATCAGCATGTGCCGTGGAATGGAATATTATTCAGCGGTAAAACAATGAAATTGGCAGCAATGTGGATGGACCTAGAGAATATTATGCTTAGTGAAATAAGTCAGAGAAAGACAAATGCTGAATGATATCACTTAGATGTGGAATCTAAAAAGTAATACAAATGAATGTATATGCAAAACAGAAACCAATTCACAGATATAGAAAGCAAACTTGTGGTTACCAGAGAGGAGGGGGAAGTGGGGAGGGACAAATTAGGGGTATGGGATTAGCAGATACAAATTACTGTATATAAAATAGATAAGCAACAAGCATATACTGTATGGTACAGGGAGTTATACTCACTGTCTTGTGATAATCTGTAATGGAGTATAATCTGCAAAAATACTGAATCACTATGCTGCACACCTGAAACTAACACAATTTTGTGAATCAACTAAACTTCAGTTAAAAAAAATGTGCTGGGCTTCCCTGGTGGCGCAGTGGTTGAGAGTCCACCTGCCGATGCAGGGGACGCGGGTTCGTGCCCCAGCCTGGGAAGATCCCACATGCCGCGGAGCGGCTGGGCCCGTGAGCCATGGCCGCTGAACCTGCGCGACCGGAGCCTGTGCTCCGCAGCGGGAGAGGCCACGGCAGTGAGAGGCCCGCGAACCGCAAAAAAAAAAAAAAAAAAAAGTGCTGTGGGACAAGGTCTTAGTTCAGAGAAGGCAAATTTTTCATCCTTTAAGATGAGTCCTGATCTTGTAATTTAGTCACAGATAACCTGTTTGCCAGACCTAAGGAAATGAGAACACCGGCCACGCCTGTCTCTGGCCCCCTTTTATCTCCCTTTCTATTACTGTCAGGCCTCTTCTGACTGTCTGATGTTCACCACTGAACCCTGTGTGTCTCACGCAACAAAACTGCCTCTTGCCTTTTCCCCAAAGGCAGCCAAACTCTACTTCCCTGGGCACTGCTGTCTTAGTCAAGGCTTGGCTAGTGTAGATGACTTGAAAAATTTAGCTCTCCGGGCCATTCTTGGATTTGAAAAGAGAATCTTTTAAACTACTGGAATGTTGAGGAAGATACTGTTTGAGCTGGGAGCTTTGTGAATCCCTTCCCAGTCGCAGGTGGCCCTGGGCTCTCACCCTTCTCCCCCAAATCTAACTGAACTGCCAGGGGCTAGAGACCAGGAGGCAAGATTGGGTTAGAATGTGTAAAGGTAGCCTAATGGTGAAGAGCATAGGCTTTGGAGTTGACAGACGTGAACCTTACTCCTGCCCTTGGGTTATATCACAGAATCTGTTTATTCATCTGTGAAATGGGGGTAATAATGATAGAGAATATGGTTGTTGGGAAGATTAAATGAATCAGTGTATCCAAGGATGTTTGCCCATTTATGGCCCATAGGGAACACTTGATAAATGGTAGCTACTACTCAGGGCTGGCTTCATGGGCATGTGACCTGTACAGGTGCACGGGGCACTGCTCTCAGAAGGGCCCTACGCTTGGGTAAATGCTTTCTGTCTCTGTCTTTAAAATTCTTCATAATTTTTGAACAAAGGGCCCTGCAGTTTATGTAGCCAGTCCTGCTACTTCTGGGCTGCAGTTGACCTCCACTCACTCATCTGACCCCACTTCTTACACGCCTCTCCCCTCTCTATTGCTTGTTGCTTCCCCCGCCCCATCTCTGAAGGGCCTGAGTAAAAAAAAGTAAGGATCATTCCTTTGGGAAAAGAACTGTGGTTCATGGCCTAAGAATATTCAAATATAGATGTCTTTTGTTGACTCCACTTTTAGAAGTCACTTATTAATGGTCTTTTAGAGCACATCACCTCTAAAGTCAAGTAGCAAAAATGAACCCAGGTGGAAAAGGATCCCCTGAATAACTGTGATTGAAGGCATCTGGGTGGAAAGTCTTCAGTGGGCCGTGCCCCTCCGTCTCTGCCTTCCCTTTGCTCGTTATCAGACTCTCCCAGCCAGTGTTGGGCTGCCTCTCTTTACCATCTGTCTCATAAAGGGTCCTGACTTGAGTTATTCCCAATAGCAGTGACCTCTGATTATTCAAAGAAGAGTTATCTAGAAAATATACTGTTTCTGTTTAGAGTTGGGAGCCTAAAGAGAGGCACAGAGCAGGCTACAGGCACACCCATGGACTCACCTTCTGTGTGTGAATGAACAGGATGAGCCCTGGCTTGAATCTGGATAAATCCTGTAGCAACTTGGGCCTCAGTGTCCTTGCCTTATGATTTCTCAAGTTGTGTTCAAATCTAGCATTCTTAGACTAGCACATACGTATCATTTGCTAAATATCAACTTAGTGACGAGCAAGTTGTTTGGAAAATCAAAGACAGGTCTCCCATCAGAGCTTGAGAAGTGCTGGAGTCCGCCTTCTTTATCGCAAAGGCCCCTGAGGCCTGCCCGGACCTCCGGGTTGCAGAGTGGCACGTTTAGACATTAAGGTTGGTAGACTGGGATCTCTGCTCCAGGTAGGAACTAGGAGTTCAGCCTAGTTCCAGCCCCTTTGTATTCACAAGGGCCCCTGCTGGGCAAGAGGTGCCTATAGGCATATGGGACCCCATGGGCTATCTATATGTTCTTAGCTGAGAACTGGAATTGATAAATGTTCTGTCTAGGACTGAGAGAGGCTCATAGCTGAGAAGCAAAGTCGAGGTTGACTTCTTGGGAGAGTAGCCTGTTTTGCTGCCTGTGTGTCATGTAAATGTTATCAGTTAGTGGACAGAGAACAGGAGGCAAGAGGGCAAACGTGGGTGGCGGTTGTAATTTGGAAAGTGTGAATGAGTACTTGGCTTCTTCATTAAGTTTGCTGTAGATATAGTGAGGCTCCTCCTATGGATAAGATATCTGTATTTTAATATCTCAGACACCTGTCTTGCTTACTCAACTGGAGTAATCTGTGGCTCCTTTGGGCTGCTGACTGGTTGCTCGTCTTGAGATTTTGCAGGTGATTTGTTTGATACGGCCCTTCATACAGTGATTCTTAGAGTACAGCTAATAATCCGACAAGGCCAACAAGCCGTCCCAGGTCACTTATTCTTCTTACATGTCAGGAACCAAGCCTCTCGAGGCTTCAGTATCATTAAAGTCCTGCGGGTCACACCAAAGCCCACCAGCTCACTTTTCGGTACTTATACTGATGCGGCTGCTTCTGTCTTACAGGTGCTTACATCATGCCGAGCCTTCCTTGTCACAGCACGAATCCCCACCAAGGTAAGTGTTGAAGAGTTTCCTCCTTCCAACACACACACACACACACACACACACACACACACACTGCAAAACGCACTCGCTTCTCAATTGCGTACACTTACGATTTCGGCCAATGTGTCCAGAGTTCTCTTTGCACAACCATATTTTCCTTCCTTCTCCCTAGAAAGCACCTAAACGTTTCATCCTTTGTTCCCTCTCTGTGTTAAAGGCATCCCAAGAAAAGTGGCGAAGCATTTCATGTTCCATATCCCCTAGGCTTGTGGATTTCAGTTATTTTTCTCTCTCAACTGGGGCAGGGTTTACACTTTCTTCAAGTCTAGTTCTTATTTCTTTGGGTCCAGTAACGGCCCATTTTTCTAAGGCTTTGACATGTGGGAAATAACCTTCATAACTCTACAGAGTGCATTACCGGGAACGTAGCCACCTAGCCCTCTTTCATGGGCAGACTCTGGTGTTGCCTATGAAAAATAACACGGTGCCACTTGGTTCCTTAAAAGATCTGACATTTTCCATAAGATGTCCTTTGTTATAGGATGCAAATTAACATTTGAACTGATAGCTCAGGAATTAGGCATCATAATTGCTTCTTTTATTTTCTTTATGGTAACAGAAAGGTGTTGACTGATTTTATAGGATATGAACTCACCTGCCCACAAACCCAGGAAAATGGGGAAGGTTTGGGAGACGCTTTCAGCCTTGCTCCTATGTTTGCACTGCAGTGTTATTTGCTCATTTTCTCAGTCCTTTCTTGCTTCTTAAAATTCAACATGTAGCCACTGTCCTGTGAATACCTACTTACGTGCTGGACACGGTGCTGTAATGCAGTGGACCTGGTAGGACTGACAAACTAATGATTTGCATGATTTTTGTTGAACTTTGAGAAGGTACCAACCCACTGTTTGCTAGTCAAAGGCCATACTGCCTTTTTTCTTTCTGATCATACAAATGCTAAATTTTATAAAGTTTCTCCGAGGAATGAGGCTTTATATTATCCCACCCCTTTTGATAATATAAACTGAGTCTTTATGTTTATAATGTGTTATAAGTGAAATATAAATGGTGTTGGACTAAATTACCTATATGCTAAAGTACCTGAAGGCAGGATATAAGGAAGTGTTAACCATTATCCCACTGTTGAAAAATTAATTGTGGAAGGAAATTTTATGGGCTTGAGAAAATAGTCAAGCAGCCTATTGAGTAGAAGGCTCCTGAAAGATATGTTTACCCTAATTAAAAATGTTTTCACACAGCAGAAGGTGTATTACCTCTTGGGAAGTCATCTGCCTCCCTTCTGTTGCCCCCTCCTTGCTCTGCCCCTGAGGGAAGGCCCAGCTTCACCCCAAGATGTATATAACATCTCACATTGGCCTGGCTAGGGTAGTTTGGACATTGGTGCTGATTTCTGATATTGTCAGCATCACAAATAAAGGCAGATCTTCTTCCAAAGTGACCTGCCTGCAGAAGGCTGGTTTTCATGTGTCACAGTGCACCTTGGCTAAGAAGCAGAACCGGTGTCAATGACATTTTTCTGGGGAAATAATTATATTCAGAACAGTAGTGTACAACAGCCCCGATTTTCACATAGGTTTCTTCTCTTTTCTTTGGGGGCTGATTAGTTAAACATTTTCTTCTTTTGTTCTTTTATTGTTAAATGTACCACATATGCACAAAATAGAAATGTATATCACCGTGATTAATTGCAAAGCAGATACCTCTGCAGTCACACGCAGATGAAGAAATAGAACTTTTCCATTCCCTCCAGAAGGGGGGAGGAGGGGGGCGGGTGATTGTCAAATCAGGGAAGGGTCTACAGAGAAGCTGGGCTGCAGGATCAGCCTGCGTCAACCAGGCAGATAAAGGGGGTCTCCTGCTGGTCAGAGGTTTAGCAGTTTGCAAGAGCACAGTGTGTTTGGGGAGCTGAGATGTGGGCCCAGGACTGAGTAGGAGGCTGTGGAGGGAGGGAAATTGGTCAGAAAGATGGGCAATCATGACATGGGTTGCTTCATGTGGAACAGTTGGAGTTCCCGAAGGAGCATCACATAATAACATTTAGATTCGCTCTGTTGCCTGTTGGGTGGGGACTGTCTTGCTGAGGGTAGAGCCGGGCCTTGGATGATTCCCTCCTCTTATCTAACTGATCACTTGTATCTGTGGTTCTCTCTCTCTCTCTTTCTTTTTTTTTTTTTTTTTTTTTTTTTTGCGGTACGGGGGCCTGTCACTGTTGTGGCCTCTCCCGTTGCGGAGCACAGGCTCCGGACGCGCAGGCTCAGCGGCCATGGCTCACGGGCCCAGCCGCTCTGCGGCATGTGGGATCTTCCTGGACCGGGGCATGAACCCGCATCTCCTGCATCGGCAGGCGGACTCTCAACCACTGCGCCACCAGGGAGGCCCTGTGGTTCTCTCTTAAAGATGTCCTCAGGTCTTCCTGCAGCCTGCCTGTGTCTCAGCTTCCTAACTAGTCCCCCTGCCCCCTCCTGCCCAGTGACATTCTTTAAACTGTCTTCCGGGTGGGCTGGAGTCAGGAGGGTCAGTGCTGGGAGCTGAGAACAAAAGCCTGTTAAAAAGAGCCATGGGTGAGATTAGAGAGAATGGCTTGAACCTTGCTGTGATGTCGGTCAGTGTGTCCCCATATCTCCCCTTCTCACCATTGATAAGAACCAGGGCTCCGATGAATCGCATACTCAGCCTGTGCCCCTTACTCATCCCTGAAACTGCAGGGTCTACTTCTCGTTTCTGTCTTGCCCTTGTTCTTTGAATGCCTCTATGCCTTGGCAAATTCTTCTTCTTCTGCCTGGATTTCCCTCTTCGCTCCTTCTTTGTTTGACACACTTGAAGTCATTCTTCAGGGCCTAGGTGGAATGTCTCAGTGCTTTCCTGGTTCCCTGGCACTTTGCTTATTCCAGGGACAGCACTGAGATGCAGCAGAAGCATCCTAACTGACCTCCAACTAACCTCCCCCAGCCAAATTGACCAAAGCTGCCCATGCTAGTCCTGATACACGGACTGATGCCAGCTGCATCTTCAGAGCCGCTAGGTTATAAGAGACTGTAGCTGTTTACACCTGTTCCCACCAGTTGTATGAGATGCCCACCAAAGGTCAGTGGTTTGCTTCCAAACCTATTCATAGCAGTTATAATTACAATAGTAAATTTTTAAAAAGATATTTTCATATCAATGAAATAGGCTGCAAAAGGAGAGAGTATCTGTGAAATACTGAATGTTGGTAAAATAATTCACTTTAAAAAATTACTGTCTTGTTAAGGACCGGACAACTGTTAAAGGCTGGGGGGTTGGGGAACATAACAATCTAGAGAACTTATGCCCTCACATTGCTTTCCCAGTGTCTTCAAGCTCTCACTCCATTTTAAAGAGCTTCAGTTGGAAGTTGTGTGTCCAGCATTTACGGGTGTGGTCCACAGAGGAAATGCCACTGGAGGGCCAGACAATGGGACTTGACTCAAAGAAGAAAATTTGGCATTATGTCCAAGGCTAGCAGATGAAAATATGTTTATAAGTTTTAATTTGAAATAAATGAAGGTAGAGAGGTACTGTTTTTAGAAAATGATTCCCTGCTTGACATGACTTTTCAAAATCCACCAAGTATAGATCTTGATAATGATAAGAAGACATCCACTCTAATGGAATGTTTAAAATGTGCCCCCGATGCTGCTTGTAACCATGGGAGGACAAGATAAATGTCTCATTCCTCTTTACAGTCCTGGCACACAGTAGGCCTTCCATAAATTCTACTGGTTGGCTGTGTGAACAATGAAAGAATGAATTATCTTTCTACCTCCAGCCCTCATCACCATACTGGGGATTCAGGGGTTCTCTGTTCTAAAATTTATCTGACCAAATGTGTAAAGGTACAACATAGCACCAGCAGGCAGAACTAAGGGTCCTATGGGTTTGGTTCTGAATGGGTTCTTTTTCTATTACATTGCTAGTTGTTTTTTTTTTAAATAAATTTATTTATTTTATTTACTTATTTTTGGCTGCGTTGGGCCTTCGTTGCTGGGCATGGGCTTTCTCTAGTTGCGGTGAGCAGGCTTCTCATTGCGGTGGCTTCTCTTGTTGCAGAGCACGGGCTCTAGGTGCGTGGGCTTCAGTAGTTGTGGCACGTGGGCTCAGTAGTTGTGGCTCGCGGGCTCTAGAGCACAGGCTCAGTAGTTGCAGCGCGCGGGCTTAGTTGCTCCATGGCATGTGGGATCTTCCCGGACCAGGGCTCGAACCCATGTTCCTTGCATTGGCAGGCGGATTCTTAACCACTGCGCCACCAGGGAAGTCCCCACATTTCTAGTTTTAAGATGAGAGGGTAAAATAAACTGATCCAACTCAGTTCTTCATTGTCTTTAGTACCAGGCCCTGTGACTGTTTGTACTGAGATGAGAGACTGAAAAACTGGGAGAAAGATTAGTGGCTGTTTTCCAGGAAAAATAGGCAGAGTGCGAGACTAGAGGTATTTTGAAGAAAAAGAAATGCTGATTACAGGAGAAGCGAGGAAGGGACACTTGTTATTAAAATGGAAAGGAAATAAATCATCATTTATGTATATACACAGAGAGAGAGAGAAGACTTTATGTGTGTTTCATTGAAACACAGATTAAAATTCCTAAATATTATATTCTTTTAAATCCATTCAAAATATGAACTTTAATGAAAGACAGTGGAAGGAAAGATGACTCCAGTAAGTGGTCAGAGGGTAACCCAAAGAGGTAAAGGTTTAGAGAGAAGGGAAAACAAACATTGTCTCTATCCTGATCTGATTTGCTGAAGCAACATCTTGAAATAAGAGAAAAAAAAGTCTATTTAGATGGCTCCCTTCATATATTCATTTCTCAGTAAATAAATACTGGAGTAGAAGTACAGAAACTTTCCATTGGGTTTGTCCTTGGATGAAATTTAAAAAGTCAGACTTGGAGTTTCCTTTCAGCCCTTTGGGAAAGTGAATAATGCTTTTCCTGAAATATGCTAGATCGAGGTCATGTTGTATTGAATGTATGGAGATATTAAACCAGCCTACCTTCAGAAGATGCCCAATGTTTTGTTTGCACTGGACTGTTTCTAATTGTAGCATTTTTACTTTGAATTATAGGTTTTAAAACCCTCATTACAGGTCTTTATTTCCCCCTCCTCCCTCAATTGCAGCTCGAGGTAACCTTCAGCTACCTGGAGATTCACGGTGTCCTGTGCAGGAAGCCAACTCAGGTGGGTGTGAATAACCTGTTTGTCATTACTGCAAGGTCAGAACCTTTCTTGAGTTTCTGAACCAGCTAATACCTTCTGTTTGGTTCACTATTGAAAGTTTCTTGAGATAATGTGGAAAAACAAGGTAAGGGAAAATGGAAGTTTCTGCATGAGAGACTGAACAGGGGCTTAGGTGGGAGGGGCCGGGAATTTGTGATAAGGGAAACACGTTCTCCATAGCTCAATTTGAAAAGAACAATTAGCTCTTACGTCACCTGGCCATGTAAACATGAGAGTACTGTTCCTTAGAGATGCTGTACAAGTTACAGCAGTAACATTTCATAGCTATTCTACAGTAATCTGTAAGGTCTTTCTGGGAATAGAGTGATAAGTGAATCTTTTGGTATTAATAAAATGTAGATTTTTAACAACAGCTTTATTGAACTATAAGTAACGGGCAGCCAACTAAGGTGTACAGTTTGATAAGTTTTGACATGTAGACCCATGAAACCATTACCACAGTCAGGATGCTGAACATACTCATCACCTCAAGGTTTTCTCAGGCATCTTAGTAAACATTTCTTCTTGCCCCTCCTCATTCATAATCATCTACAGGCATCTACTCTCAGCCACTATAAATTAGTTTGCATTTTCTAAAAATTCATATGAATGGAATCACACAGTATGTGTACTATTGATTGTTTTTTAGCCAGTGTAATTATTTTGAGACTGATTGATTTTGCTGCATGTCTCAATAGCTCATTCCTTTTCATTGCTGAGTAGTATTCCATTGTATGACTATATCACAGTTTGTTTATCCATCACCCACTGATGGACATTTGTGGTGTTTCCAGTTTTTGGCCGACAAGCAAAGGGCAATGAACATTTATTCACAAATCTTTGATTGGACATTGGCTTTTATTTCCTGTGGGTAAATACCTAGGAGTGGAGTGGCTGAATTGTATGTATGTAAACGTATGTATGTATATAGTGTAAATATGTATGTAAACTGTTTAAGAAGCAGCTAAATTGTTTTCCAAAGTGGTTGTACCACTTTACGTTGCCACCAACATTGTGTAAGAGTTCCAGTTCCTCCACATCCTCCCAACACTGGTATGGTCAGCATTTTAATTTTTAGCCATTTTAATAAATTTGTAGTGCTTTCTCATTTGTAGTTTTAATTTGCATTTCCCTAATGACTAAAGATGTGTGGAGCATCTTTTTATCTGCTTATCTGCTGTCATATATCTTTTTGGTTCAAGTGTCAGTTCAAATTTTTTGCCATTTAAAAAATTGAGTTGTTTTCTTATTAAGAGTTCTTTATATATGTGATTTGTACATATTTTCTCTCAGTCTGTGGCTTCTTTTTTCATTTTCTTTACAGTGCTTTTCAAAGAGTGGAAGTTTTAAATTTTGATGAAGTTCAATTTATCAGTATTTTCTTTTATGGATCATGCTGGTATCATATTGAATAAATCCTTGATTAACCTAAGGTCACAGATGTTCTATGTCTTCTAGGAGTTTTATAGCTCTGAGTTATACATTTAGGTCTATGATCCATTTTGAGGTAATTTTTGTGTATAAAGCAATATGTGGATCAGTTTTTTTTTTCCCCATTATGTATAGTATTTTTACTTGTTCAAGTACCATTTGTTTGAAAGACTGTCATTTCCCCAGTGAACTGGCTTTCACTTTTGTTGAAGATCAATTGTTCACATAAATGTTGGTCTATTTCTGGACTCTGGTCCCTTTAATCCTGTCCCTTTGGTCTATTTGTCTATCCTTATGCTGCTCTCACACTGTCTTGATTACTGAGGCTGTTATAGTAAGACTCGAAATCAGATAGTGTGAGTCCTCTAACTTTGTTCTTTTTCAAAGTTGTTTTAGTGATTCTAGGTTCTTTGCAATTCCATATGAATTTTAGACTCAGCTCAGTTTCTACAAAAAGGCCTGCTGAGATTTTCATTGGGATTATATTAAATCTATAAATCAGTTTGGGGCGAATTGACATCTTTCTTTTAAAATTTTTTTTGCGGTACGCGGGCCTCTCACTGCTGTGGCCTCTCCCGTTGCAGAGCACAGGCTCCGGACGCGCAGGCTCAGTGGCCATGGCTCACGGGCCTAGCCGCTCCGTGGCATGTGGGATCTTTCCGGACCGGGGCACGAACCTGTGTCCCCTGCATTGGCAGGCGGACTCTCAACCACTGCGCCACCAAGGAAGCCCAGAACAGATACTCTTGATTTACGTCTATCTTTGAGAGAAAGCATCATTCTTTTTCCATTAAGTGTGATTTTAGCTGTTGGTTTTCATAGATGCCCTTTATCTGGTTGAGGAAGTTCTCTTTTATTCCTAGTTTGCTGAAAGTTTGTATTAGGAATTATTGTTTTATACGATTATTGTGTGCTTTTCTTTTTTTTTCTTTTGTTAATATGGTAAATTTTATTGATTTTTCAAATATTAAATCAACCTTTCATTCCTGAGATTAACCCCACTTGGTTCTGATGTATTGCTCATTTTATATATTGTTAGATTTCATCTTTTAAAATTTCGTGAAGGAACTTTGCAACTACGTTAATGAGACTTATTGGCTGTAATTCTCGCCCTCTGTCTTTTAAAATGTTTTAATCTGCTTTCTGTATTAGAGCAATCATGGTATCATGGAATGACTTGGGAATTAGTCCCCCCTCTTCAATTGTTTTTAGAAAATTCTATGTAGTCTTGGTGTTAATTCTTCTTTAAATGTTTGGTTGAATTTCCAGTGAACTCATCTGGGCCTGGAGTTCTCTCTTAGGGAAGGTTTTTAACTACAAATTCAGTTTCTTTAATAGATATGGGTACATTCATATTTTTTTTCTTGAGTGAGCTTTGGTAGTTTGTGTCTCCTAAGAAATTTATACATTTCATCTCTGTCATATTTATTGGTATAAAGTTGTTCATAGTATCCACTTGTTATCCTTTAAATATCTGTAGAATATCATTCCTGATATTGATAATTTGGTTCTTCTCTGTTTTCTTTTCCATGTCAGTCTGGCTAGAGGTTTATCAATTCTTTTGATCTTCTCAAAGAACTTTCTTTTCAGTTGCATTAGTTTTTTCTATTGATTTCATCGATTGTTTTCTATTTCAGTGATTCTTACTCTGATCTTTTTATTTCCTTCCTTCTACTTATGTTCTTTTTGTTTTTAAAACTCTAAAGAAAATGTGTGTGTGTGTGTGAGAGAGAGAGAGAGAGAGAGAGAGAGAGAGTGTAGTTTGCTGATAGCATTCGTAAAAGAAATTGTCAAAATCATCACTTTATGTTGATTGAGATTACATACAAATCCTTGGAACTTTTCCATAGTCCATCTTAGAGCAATGTTTTATCCTATGTTTATCATTCTCCAAGAACTGGCGTTTGGAAGAAAAATTACATTACCATATATTTGCCCAAATGGGCAAACATATGCAGCAGTGAGTGACAACTCATGAATGATGACATAACCAGGGCCTTCTTGATGGTCCTAATTCAGGAATGTTTATGTTTATGATTTCGGGGTTGGGATGGGAATAGAAGGGCGCTATTGAAATGCCAGTGCCAAGGTTATATTCAGAATATGATTAGACTGTGGTATTTAATTATGAGAAAGGATGTTGATATAGCAAGACTAATTTTCCCATGTGGCTGCTGGAACTGCTCTTACCACACTTGTGGTCCTGTCCATTCAATATGTCCAGCATTCAGAGGAACTGGGTGTAAAGCAATCCACCTTAGTCCCATGGAGCTGTTCTGTGGTTGTAAGTACCACAAAAATAGCTCTACAACATGACCTCAGTTTGACTTTGTCCCATGGTACGGACCTTGGGAATGAAATTACTATATAGTGAAACAGTGGTACTACTTCACAGAGGAGCTAGCAATCCAGACACTTGGAATACGAGTCACTTAGTGGTATTCAAAATTTGATGTTTCAAAATTGCCTATGGTGCTTTTAAAAAATACTCATACCTCAGCTGTTGGGTTTAAGACAGGCTACAAGGATGTATTGTACTACATGGGAAATATAGCCAATATTTTTAATAACTATAAATGGAGTATAACCTTTAAAAATTGAATAAAAAATCAAAAAGATACTGATACATCCAGCAGCTCCACCCCACCCCGCTGCCACACACACACACACACTCATGACAGTTAGGCTTCGATTTGTCTGGGGTGGGCATTTGGTTCTGTTGTGTCCCAGAGGTTGAGAATGAATAACCTGTGTAACCTCAGGACCCTTGATGTCTCTGGTTTTGATTTTTTCTGATGTGAAATCATAAGGATGATCGTGTCTGCCTGTGGCACTTGCAGTCTAGCCTTGATTAGAACATTTTTTTTCTAATGTTCTCTGGGGTTTATTAACTTCTCTGTCATTGCTATTTTTATCCTTTAATTACAGTTTGTAAATTCCAGTAAAATGCCAGGGGGTACACACAATTCATGGTATATGAGCGAGAGTGAGTGAATGTGTTATTGGGTTTGTGAAGTGTGATTTTACTGTTGCTCTTTTCCTCTTTCTTGTGAAAATGGGGGAGACCTTCATCTTACTTTACAAGTCTCCTTGCCATCACACTTTCTGGTGTTCAAGTTCTCTTGCTGTCACAGTCAATAAATAGAGACCAACAGTTGTATAGTTTTATAGTTATAGAATTTTGGGACCTTTTTTTGTACAACTGAAGTACCTGCTAAAAATTTTTTTTTAATTATAAGTTAATTATTTGCTACGTCATAGAATGATTTTGGTAAACCACCCCTGGCTGTTTTTGTTAGAAGAAAGAAAAACACTTTACAGATCTGTTGGCTGGGGTTTGGTAAAAAGTGCTTTTCTTGGACTTCCCTGGTGGCGCAGTTGTTAAGAATCTACCTGCCAATGCAGGGGATAGTGGTTCGATCCCTGGTCCGGGAAGATCCCACATGCAGTGGGGCAACTAAGCCCATGCGCCACAACTACCGAGCCTGCGCTCTAGAGCCCGTGAGCCACAACTACTGAGCCCACACACCTCAACTACTGAAGCCCCCGCACTCTAGGGCCCCCATGCTGCAACTACTGAGACTGCGTGCTGCAGCTACTGAAGCCCGCGGGCCTAGAGCCCATGCTCTGCAACAAGAGAAGCCACCGCAATTAGAAGCCCACGCACCGCAACAAAGAGTAGGTCCCGCTTGCCGTAACTAGAGAAAGCCGGTGCGCAGCAACGAAGACCCAACGCAGCCCCCCACCCCCCCGCCAAAAAAAACGCAAAACTTAAAGGTTAGTCAGGTGGTTCTACCTTAAAACAAGAGGCAGAGTGGGCTTGGAAACTTGAGTCTTAAATAGGATACTAGGGCTTACATCGCTATTATTTTAAATGTGTATTGGTTGTCATGAATTATGTTCTGCTAGGTGTCTAAGCAAAAATTTTTTCAAACATTCTATTTTTCCCCAGCTGAAATAGGAGGGAAAGAGATATTTGAGAGGGAGTTCTTTTTCCTGATGAAATGATCTACTGTGTTGGTCTCACCTCTATCACTTTGTTGTAATTCTTTACATTATGCAAAGGTGGTGACATATTATGCAGGGCTGGATGAACGCTTTTATGTGAAGTTGAATTTAAAGGTCTCATTTCTTCCCACCTGTCACCTTTTCTTCTTCCGTGTCATTCTATTCAATCCTGTGCAATTAAGGATGATTAGATGTTAAGATTAAGTGGAATTAGAATAAGCTAATTACTGATTACTCGTACCCAAACTGTGAACTGAATAGATGCACTAGATGTGAAGAAAGAAGAAGTACCTTATATTGAAAAATATAATTACCTGTGGTGGGAAGGTAGGGGGTGGGGTGTGGAACATAGATAAGGTGGCTGCATCCCGAAGTATCTGGCTTTTTAAAACATACATTTGCCCAGATAGGTGCATATAAAATATCTGAGCCTAATTTCATAAAGCAGTTTTAGTCTTACTTAAGACACCTCACTGAAGTGTCATATCAGTAAATACCTCCAAGTACAATAATGCTTGCTGCCTTTTGGGGGGTAAATATCTCTTGGACCAGCTTCTACAAGACCGGGGCAATCTTTTGTCTAGAGAATTTCAAAGGCAGTGCCATTAATTCCTTGAGGAATGAATGGGCTGAGAATTAGGATTAAAAAATGTTTTTTATATAGGGAGCCAACTAACTGGTACAAAGGTGGTATGTATTAAATACCTGTTAACAGATTCCCCTAGGGGTACTTACGAAGAAGTAACATTTTAAGGACTCAAATCACTGAAGTCTTTTTCTTTGATCTCATCATTTTGACAAATAGATTGGATTGCTTTTTCTTTTAACATAAACACTCTGAAAGACAGATTATTTTTGTATAATTCAGCTAATCGTAGGACAACCTAAAGCAAATCTAAAAGCTTCTTTGTCAATCCAGTTGGCTAGCCGCACATTAAGGGTAGTGTTTCCCCATGATATTTTTGTACAAATTAAGTAACAGCAGGAGGTAAATGTATAAGGATATTTGGATGCAGTGATCATCAAAAGGATAGAATTGTACATGAATATTTTTGAGATCCAAGATAATAAATAGTATTTTTTTTTTAAAAAAGAGTGATTGAAGTCAGTTCTTTTTATTTGGAACGTGTTTATAATCAACCTGTCTTCCCTTTTGTGACCTGCCCTTTTTATCAGGTTGTTTTATACTTATTTGTAAGACTAGCTATATGACCTCAGTTCAGCATTTTTGGACATCTCCAGTAGTTACTATAGGAATGAGCCTCTGCCTAGCATGAACTTTATTACTTTGTTCCCTTTGTATAATCCTTTCCAAGTATCCTGTCTTCTTAGAAAAGTTGAAGCTTTTATAAGCACTTGAGTTTTCTTTTGTTATCAGGCAAAAGGTTTTACCATTTTACTTAAATATCTCATGATGTGTCTTGTTTTTAAAACACATTTTACAAAAAAGTGACTACTGGGTTATCCTCCGGTGCTCACTGAAGGAGATATTCTTACTTACACTGGATGCTAGGGATATGACAGACTTTGTAAGTCAAGATGAAATCTTGGTAAAAGGAGAACTCACCTGCGAATGTGGCTATTCAGTTTCCATCACCGGGGGTGGGGGTGGGGGTGGGGGTCTGTTTGAATCTGCAGTTTGGCCCTTAGAAACTTGCTTCAGTTTCTGGACGTTTCTGACAAACTAACCACCCTCTACCCTCAGTCTTAAGGTTAAGAGCATTATTTTAAGGAAGTGCTTCTTAAGAAGCTGGTATTGTATTAGTATCTATCAGCGTGAGTACAGAAGTTCCCCCTTGTCCGCAGTTTCACATTCTGTGGTTTCAGTTACCTGTGGTCAACTATGGTTGGAAAATGGAAAAATCCAGAAATAAACAATTCAAAAATCTTAAATTTCATGCTGTTCTGAGTAGCATGATGAAATCTTACGCTGTCCTGCCCCTTCCCACCCAGGACTTGAATCATCTCTTCATCCAGCGTTTCCCACCCGTTAGTCATTTAGTAGCCAGCTAGGTTATCAGATCTGCTGTTGTGGTATTTCAGTGCTTGTGTTGAAATAACCCTTATTTTACTTAATAATGGCCCCAAAGCACAAGAGTCATGACATGGGCAATTTGGAAGTGCCAAAGAGAAGCCATAAAGTGCTCCCTTTAAGAGAAAAGGTGAAAGTTCTTGATTAATAAGGAAAGAAAAAAATTTGTATGCTGAGGATGCTAAGATCTATGGCAAGAACGAATCTTCTATCTGTGAAATTGTGAAGGAGGAAAAGAAATTTGTGCGAGTTTTGCTGTCGCACCTCAAACTGCCGAAGTTATGACCACAGAGTGTGATACTGCTTAATTAAGATGAAAAAGGTATTAAAGGAAATCATCAACAAAGTGAAAAGACAACCTACTGAATGGGAGAAAATATTTGCAAATGATATGACCAATAAGGAGTTAATATCCAACATATATAAACAGCTCATACAACTCAACATCAAAAAAACAAACAACCTGGGCTTCCCTGGTGGCGCAGTGGTTGAGTGTCCGCCTGTCGATGCAGGGGACACGGGTTCGTGCCCCGGTCCGGGAGGATCCCACATGCCGCGGAGCGGCTGGGCCCGTGAGCCATGGCCGCTGAGCCTGCGCGTCCGGAGCCTGTGCTCCGCAACGGGACCGCAACAGTGAGAGGCCCGCGTACCGCAAAAAAAAAAAAAAAAAAAACAAACAACCTGATTAAAAACTGGGCATAAGATGTGAATAGACATTTTTCCAAAGAGGAAATGCAGATGGCAAAAAGGCACATGAAAAGATGCAAAACATCGTTAATCATCAGGGAAATGCAAATCAAAACAATGAGATACACCTCATACCTGACAGAATGGCTGTCATCAAAAAGAACACAAATAACAAATACTGGCAAGGATGTGGAGAAAAGAGAGAACCCGTGTACGTGATTGGTGGGAATGTAAATTGGTGCAGCCCCTGTAGAAAACAGTATGGAGGTTTCTCAAAAAAACTAAAAATATAACTACCTTATGATCAGCAGTTTCAGTCCTGGGTATATATCCTAAAAACCCAAAAACACTAATTTGAAAAGACACATGTACCCCAGTGTTCATAGCAGCACTGTTTACAATAGCCAAGATATGGAAGCAGCCTAAGTATTCACCAACAGATGAATGGATAAAGAAGATGTGGTTTGTGTACACACACACACACACACACACACACACACACACACACAGAGGAATACTACTCAGCCATAAAAAGAATGAAATTTTGCCTTTTGCAGCAGCATGGTTGGACTTGGAGGGCATCATGCTAAGTGAAATAAATCAGACAGAGAAAGACAAATACTGTGTGATATCACTTATATGTGCAATCTCAAAAATACAACAAACTAGCAAATATAACAAAAAAGAAAGACTCAGATATAGAGAACAAACTAGTGGTTACCAGTGGGGAGAGGGAAGGGGAAGGGGCAATATATGAGCGGGGGATTAAGAGGTACAACTATTAGGTAGAAAATAAGCTACAATAATATATTGTACAACACAGGAAGGAATATAGCCAATATTTTTATAATTATAAATGGAGTATAAACTTGAAAAATTGTGAATCACTATCTTGTATACCTGTTACTTATATAATATGTACATCAATACTTCAATTACAAAATATGGAAAAGGCATTAAATTTATACAGTAAGATGTTTTGAGAGAGACCACATTCACATAAATTTTATTATAGTGTATTGTTATAATTGTTCTATTTTATTATTAGTTAATTGTTGTTAATCTCTTAGTATGCCTAATTTATAAATTAAACTCTATCACAGGCCTGTATGTATAGGAAAAAACAGCATATATAGGGTTCGGTGCTATCCGAGGTTTCAGGCTTCCATTGGGGGTCTTAGAATGTTTCCCCACGGCTAAGGGGGGACTGCCGTATATAGTTTACATTATTTAAAATAAAAAAATCGAAGGAATTGGATTCATTATTAAGCAGTATCCAACCTGGTTGTTGCAGATGGTTGTGGAAACTGAGAAGTGCAGCATCTCCCTGAAGATGGCATCACCTGAGGACGTGAGTGAGGTGCTGGCGCACATCGGCACCAGCCTGCGGAAGATCTTTCCTGGCTTCTCCCCATTGTGAGTTCTCCCGCGGGAGGGTGAGGAGAGCAGAGACCTGGTCTCTCCCTCAAAATGAAAACAGCCTTCCTCTTGCCCCTTCACTTGGTTCCTCTCTCATACTTTCTTCTTCTCTTAAACATTACATGTTACAACCCTCTCTCAAACCTTTGTGTTTTATGTCTGAGATTTTCTGTATGGCTGCTTTTAATTTTTTTTATTTTTTTATTCAATTTTTTAAAACATCTTTATTGGAGTATAATTGCTTTACAATGGTGTGTTAGTTTCTGCTTTATAACAAAGTGAATCAGTTATACATATACATATGTCCCCATATCTCTTCCCTCTTGCGTCTCCCTCCCTCCCACCCTCCCTATCCCACCCCTCTAGGTGGTCACAAAGCACCGAGCTGATCTCCCTGTGCTATGCGGCTGCTTCCCACTAGCTAGCTATTTTACGTCTGGTAGTGTATATATGTCCATGCCACTCTCTCACTTTGACACAGCTTACCCTTCCCCCTCCCCATATCCTCAAGTCCATTCTCAAGTAGGTCTGTGTCTTTATTCCCGTCTTACCCCTAGGTTCTTCATGACATTTTTTTTTTCTCTTAGATTCCATGTATATGTGTTAGCATACGGTATTTGTCTTTCTCTTTCTGACTTACTTCACTCTGTATGACAGACTCTAGGTCCATCCACCTCACTACAAATAACTCAATTTCGTTTCATTTTATGTCTGAGTAATATTCCATTTTATATATGTGCCACATCTTCTTTATCCATTCATCCGATGATGGACACTTAGGTTGCTTCCATCTCCTGGCTATTGTAAATAGAACTGTAATGTACATTTTGGTACATGACTCTTTTTGAATTATGGTTTTCTCAGGGTATATGCCCAGTAGTGGGATTGCTGGGTCATATGGTAGTTCTATTTGTAGTTTTTTAAGGAACCTCCATACTGTTCTCCATAGTGGCTGTACCAATTCACATTCCCACCAGCAGTGCAAGAGGGTTCCCTTTTCTCCACACCCTCTCCAGCATTTATTGTTTCTAGATTTTCTGATGATGGCCATTCTGACCGGTGTGAGATGATATCTCATTGTAGTTTTGATTTGCATTTCTCTAATGATTAATGATGTTGAGCATTCTTTCATGTGTTTGTTGGCAATCTGTATATCTTCTCTGGAGAAATGTCCATTCAGGTCTTCTGCCCATTTTTGGATTGGGTTGTTTGTTTTTTTGTTATTGAGCTGCATGAGCTGCTTGTAAATTTTGGAGATTAATCCTTTGTCAGTTGCTTCATTTGCAAATATTTTCTCCCATTCTGAGGGTTGTCTTTTTGTCTTGTTTATGGTTTCCTTTGCTGTGCAAAAGCTTTGAAGTTTCATTAGGTCCCATTTGTTTATTTTTGTTTTTATTTCCATTTCTCTAGGAGGTGGGTCAAAAAGGATCTTGCTGTGACCTATGTCATAGAGTGTTCTGCCTGTGTTATATGGCTGCTCTTTAAGGAGCTGGAGTGATGAAGGGATTTGGCAATCCTCTGACCTCCACTCCTAAGACTAAAACAGAAGCCTTTTTATTGTAGCCTGAGATTTACCCTAGTGTGAATTTTACTCACAGCTCTTAGCCGAGTGCCAGGAGCTGCATGCTTTGAGATGAAGGCAGTGAGTATTAATGAAGAGTGAGAGTGCTTCATTTTCCTTATTTTTTTCTGTTCAGTAAGAGGAAACTTAAAAAGCCAAAACTGAACATCAAAATTAGCCTCTTTCATTTTCCTCTCACGTTTCTGGAATACACATTAAGGATATGAGTACATTTTGTCTGTACATGTCCTCGTATTTTTTTTTTTTGTCAAGCATTTTAAACCAGGATTCTGTGCTTGGGTAACAGAGTTTGAACATAGGGAATGTGTAGCTTGTTGGAAAGGGGGAGTTAAATTGGCTGAGGTGGAAAGGCAGAGAGATCCTTATGTCAGAAAGCTCCCTAAAATAATAGCGCATATTCAGAATACCTTCCTGATGGAAGGAGATGATACACAGATCGCAGGAAATCCCTGCTGAGGAGGCCATGAAACCTCCCATAGAGCACAGAGATGGGTAGCTGTGTGCCTTGGTTGGTGGGGGCCGGAGGAGAATTCGGGAGACTGTTGTCCTTCATGGAACGACACCCTACACTGCTGCTGCCTGTAAATTAGGAGGCAAAGCAGCAGGAAAACCCGGCCTTCGTGTCTTTCAAAGCTTTTTGGTGAGCGGAAAGTGGCTCCTGGGGGATAAGAGCTTCCCTTCAGTCTCTTCGGCTTCAGGAGACCTGCTTGGTCCTTCTCACAGCTCTTCCCTGGTCCCTTCCCTCCCTCCACACACCACAGTGGAGGGGCTGGCCCCGTGCTTTCTGGCTGTTCAGAAAGGGCTTCCTCCTTCCTGCAGCTGAAGTCGCCTTGTGCTGCTCTTAGGATCCAGGTAGCTGGTTGCCGGGGAGCTAAGTGGTCCCAGCCCCGTCCCAGCGGAGTGGAGGGGGGAGCCGGGGCTCCATCTCCATTCTGAGGTGTCTGAAAGGCCGGCTGTCTCTGGTCTTGTGTGTGTGGAGGGGACGCGAGGGCCGGGACGGGTGTTGGGATGAGGTGAGGCATGGCAATGGGAAAGTACCCAGAGCAAAACAGTCTCAGGAATGCTTTCCATATCATCCTTAGAGCCTCCAGAGAACTGTCCGGGGTAATCATGAGATAGCAGTAATTATAGAACCCATTTTCCTGAAACTGCACTTGAGTAATGTGACTTTGGACACAGGGTTCCTTCCAGAGTGTCTTTCCTTTCATTCCAAATCAACACCGATGGAATAAGAAAATTATTAAGTACAGCCTTATTCAGCAAGGGCTTATAAGACCCTCAGAGTGATAGTTAGAATCTCTGTTTTCTTTAAAAGGCAACTTTGTTTAATACTCTAGGGATTTGTCGTCGGGGGGAGATGATCGGTTTTATTTTTGGTTTGGATTCTCCCATTTTTTTTTCCTGGAGAAAGTTGTGTACGAAAAGTGCTTTCTCTTTTATCTTCCATTTAACTTCTTGTTAAAATGTTTAGGCAGCAAATATTAAACCACAAGTCTTAAATAAGCAGCTCCATTTCTAGAGAGGCAGTTACCTCTAGAGAGGTTTCTAAATCCATGACCCTCCACCTCACCCTGATTTTCATTTCTGTCCCCCAGCTGCTTATCAGGCATCTCCACAAGGATGTCCCCACGCACCTCACACTTCGTATGTCCCAAACGGAACTTTTTACTGTTTCCCCTAAAACCTCCCCGTATTGGATATTCTGTCTCAGTGAGTGGCTTCTTCATTTACATAGTCTCCGGAGTGAAAAGCTGAGCTGCTTTGATTTCTTGTTCCTTACTTGCCCATCTAATTAGTTGCCAAGCTCTTTTGCTTCTGTCTTAATAGCTCTTTGGTCCTTTGTCTTTCTTCTCACTTGCCCAGTGCAGCATCTTTCTAGCTAGTTTCTCTGTCTCTAGTTCTTGCCCTTCCAACTGATCTTCCGTACTGTCACCAGAATTATCTTTCCATAATTCACATAGTCTCTATTCCTTGCCTAAGTTTTTTTTTTTTTTTTTTTTTTTGCGGTAGGCGGGCCTCTCACTGTTGTGGCCTCTCCCGTTGCGGAGCACAGGCTCCGGACGCACGGGCTCAGCGGCCATGGCTCACGGGCCCAGCCGCCTCGCGGCATGTGGGATCCTCCCGGACCGGGGCACGAACCCGTGTCCCCTGCATTGGCAGGCGGACTCTCAACCACTGCGCCACCAGGGAAGCCCCTTGCCTAAGTTCTTTAATGGCTATCCTTCCTGATAAAATCCAAAATGTGTAGCCTGGCATAGAAAACCACTGCCATCTTGCCCCATAGTCCAGCCTGTTGTTGAACACATCAGCCTCTTTTATATTTTCATGCCTTTTATATAGGCTTCTAATCCTGACAGACTCCCACTCCAAAAGACATAGCCCAAACATGTGAAGAGTTCCTCATCAGTCAAGAGTTTATGTTTCCATAGAACTTTGTGATTACTGCCTATACTACCACATTTCACATCGTGTTATAATTGTTTGTTTATACGTTTATACATTCAGTGAGTATTTATTGACTTTCTACTATATGCTAGGCAGAGTGCTAAGTGTTGGGGCCCAACAGTGAATATGGTCCCTGACCACATGGAACTTACATTGGGAAGTTGCATTACTTACACCGGGAAAGAAACCCCCTAAAAAAAGAAAAATGAGAAATGGTGTAAGATCAGGCTGGAAACATAGGCCCTGGTCAGTTTATATAGAGACTCCTGGTAAAGAGTTTGGAATTTAGTAGAATTCCACTAGGAAGTCAGTGTAAGATTGTAAGTAAGGAAAGACACGGTTCCTTGTATATTTTATGGAAATTGTTTTTGCTTCTAGATAGAGTGGGTTGCGAAGGGGAACGAGTAGAAGTAGAAAGCTAATTTGGAAATTATCAAAGCTAATTTGAAAGCTGATAGCTAAAGGTAATACTATTAGAGATAAAGATGAGAGCGACAGTAGATTTATTAAGATTTATTTTGGATATAAGACATGATGATGGATTAGGTAGGTAGGTGACAGCAGTGAGGAAAGGGAAGAACCAAGGATGGCTCTTAGGTTTCTGATTTAATAACTTAGTGACTGACACTACTTTTCAGTGAGGTGAAGAGGGCCTAGAGTAGGGTGGGGCAAGTTTTTTTCGGGGAAAAAGTACCAACCATTTTGTTTTACACATGCAAAATTTGAAATCTGGGGCATCTAGGTGGGGAAATCAGATAGGCAGCTAGATATGCTTGGAAGAGAGGTCCAAGTCTGGAGATGTAGCAAATGTGAGAGTCATTAGTGTAAAGAGGGTCTTGAATTCATGACTGTTGATAAGATCACCTGGAGAGAGATGTGGACCTAGAAGAGAAAATGTCCCAACATTTAGAGGTCGAGCAAAAGGGGAAGAACCACAAAGGGAGCTGGGTTATTACTCTAGTAGGAAACC